TTTTGTGCCTCCACTACAAATCTATAGTAAATTATCATGCATGCACTCACTACAAGAAATTTTGATATTACCGACGGTCAAAATCCGTCGGTAATAACAAAAATTCGTCGATAATATCCATTTATATATATATATATATATATATATATATATATATATATATATTTATATACAATTAAATATTTTTATATGTTTTTTATATATTTTTATATATTTATATATAATTAAATATTTATTTTTTAAAATTATTTAATTTAAGAAATTATTATAAATTAATCTAATTATGATTAAATGAAATTATTAAATAAAAAATATTTAATTTTTTAATTAGTTGAATATTTACTAATTGATAATTTACCGATCGAAAATATCTCATCATGTAATTTACAGATGAATTTACCGACGGATATATCCGTCGGTAATTAATTATTAATTTATCGACGGATTTACCGACGGATATATCCGTCAGTAAATTCATCTCGTCAATTACCGACGGATATATCCGTCGGTAAGATCAAATTCCACAAATATTTTATATCCGTCGGTAATAATTATTTTCCAACTAGATACAAATCCGTCTGATATACGCAATTTTCTTGTAGTGACTCATCTTTAATTACATTAATTATTAAGCTTAATAGGAATTAAAGTTTGTAATTGAAACCAGCCCTTATGTTTTAATAATTTCCCACTATTTTTTTTTTTTGAAGTATTTCGGTTTCTATATATGATTAAACACTTAATAATTAAAATATGAAGAAAATAATTCTTTATAAATAAAATTTGAATTGGAATTTTCTATTATTGCCAAATTTAAATAGGAAAAATTTGTATTATGAAAAAAAATAATTATAAATAGAAAGCTCGAGCTGCGAGCTTCAGCTTCAAAAATGTGTTTAGAAAATTGTTTGATCGATTTAATGGGTTTGGTGAGTTTTAAACAATAGAAAATATTCATACTTTTTTACTTTATCTATTATTAATATTTTATTGGATAAGAGAAAAAAAAATTATACAGTAGAAAAAAATATACAATTGGTGTTAAATTTAAATGACATTCAAAAAATAATTTAATTGAGATGAAAAATAAGTTTCTATTTAAAAACTTTTTCACTAATTTTTTCTGCTACTTGGAAATGTTTTGGTGTGAGTATAGTTTTTTTTTTCATTTCACTCGAGGAAAATTAATAGAAAAAACATAATAAGAAATTTTTTACCATATTTATATTTTTACATTGTTATTATTTGAAAACAAATAAGCGCATATTTAGACTTCATTATTTGACGAGAACTGATATCATAGTTTTTAAAACGTAAAAAATCTAAAATAAACAAAGTCAAAGACATAATTAATAAATTTATACTACTTTTTTTTTTTTTATGAAAATTGAAACATGTAATAAAATATAAAGTCTAAGAAATGTGAATGTGAACGTGGAGTTTGAGTTTTTTACATTGTATACTTTAACATAAAGTTTTAGTAATTGCATCCACAAAAACAAAGTCAAAGACTTGGAATTGCAAAAACAAAAATGTCCCCTTTAATTAAAAAAATTAGGGTTAGCATTGTAACTTTTTGGTTTAAAATGAGAAGAAATCGAGAGAAGATTGAGGGGAGATATGTCCCTAACAACTAGGGATGCTAGAGCCCTATAACCCTACCTGCCTCCGTGGCTTCCACACTTCCACGTTTCCATGATAATTTTAGTGTTATACTGTATTATATTATCCCATTTTTTGAATTTAATTTTAATTTAAATATGTTTTCTTCAAATAAAGTAAGTTGGAATTTTGTCTTTTGACTTTTGACTTTTTTTTCAGAGCACTTTGATTTTAATTACATGTAATTGATTTTATTAACAAAAAAACACACGAAGTTAGAGTTATAGAGAAAGGAAATTATTATAAAAAAATACAGTTTATCTAATAAATATATAAATGTATATTAAATATTTATACAAAATATTGATCAGTTTATTTCTATAATATAGATGGCGGTTAATAAATAAGTTTAATTATAAAAAAAATTATATAAAAGAGAAATTAGTAAACTAAAAAGGCATGTTCAATAATTCACTATCTTTTAAAAAATAATAATAATAATAACTATTATTATAATTATTATTATTATTATTATATTATTGTCTTTTAAAAAACAATAATAATAATAATAACTATTATTATAATAATAATTATTGTTATATTATTATTTTACTTAGTTTTGTTATTGTTATTACAGTTGGTCCTTGTATCATTATTATTGGCACCCAAATTGCTACTTATCTGAATAGATGAAAAAAAGATATATTTATTTATTATTTTAATATTAAATTTAAATTTTTATAACTTATTATAATAACAATGAAAAATCTATAATCATTTATGTGAAAAATATAATTGATTATTTAGCTTAAATATATTATAAATAGTCACATGATTGATTATATAACATAAATATTAATTAAATAATGATAATATAAATAATCATATCAAAAATATAATTGAATATATAATATGGATATTAATAAAATATTAAGGATATAATTGATTTTATAAATGTGCATATCTTTCCCTTCAATTTTAAATAAAAAATTAAAATATTTCTTTTATCTAAACTCATCATGATCATAAACCAATAAAAGCTAGACGATTTTCGATATTCATCTTTCAAGATTAAGATATAATTTATCAATTTAAATTTCATATTTCAAGATTAAGATATAATTCATCATGTTATTAATTTAAATTTCAGATCTCTTTAGTTAGTTTTATGTGAAAAATAAAATATTTCTTTTCCCTAAAACTCACTCAAAACAAATAAAAATAGGGTGATTTTCGATTATCATTTTTAAGGATTTGGATTTAAATAAGAAAAAAAGAAAGTAAATAAACCACAAAATAATTAAAATTTTAAAATAAAAGAAATAAGGAGTACTAATAATATATTTTGTTATGAAATGTTATCTCATCTCAACATAGTAGCAACATATATAAAAAAGAAAAAATTTAAAGCTTTTATGAAAATATTATCTAGAAATTAGTGAGTTTTTGTGACAATTTTTATTCTGATAATTACAAATATTTACAAAGGGTATTAAAAGATTATTATAAGGAAAAGATTATTTTATTATCTTAAAAGTTATCATGCAAACAAACTACGTGGATCTGTAGAATTAAAAATCCTGAAGGCCATGATGACCATATAAAAGTAACTTGGGAGAAGGAGAAAACCAAACTGGCCTTGCTTCTTCGTGCGAACATCATTTGTATATATACCGACACTACAAAGCTACCATAGATAAAAAGACATCAATTATCACACTGTTTTGCTCTTTCTGTCTTTGATTGCAATCTGAGTCCAAAGCTTTTCAAGAGCCAAGGAGTAACTGGGTCCCTAGAGGTTAGTCCTCACTTCACTCCTCAACCCCAATTCCTACTATTTCATCTTCTTAATTAAGTCTCGTACACACCCTCTGATTTCATCTCTTTCTGTGTTCGATCATCAATATCAATGATTTTATGTGTGCATGTATGAAGTTTCTTCTTCTGGCTTTTAAAAAAACAAAACTTTACTTGTCAATTTCATATATCCTGTTGCTCTTCCTGTTTTTAATTTCGCTATGTCTCCCTCCCTTTGCTTGACTTTATTGTTTTGTGGGATAAAAGTAAATTTAGAAAGGAAATCTCTGCAAGTGCAACTCACTATTTTCTGGAGTGGAATCACCTATCTTGGTTTTTCTTTCCACCTTTCTGATATTTGTGAAGCATTATTGTAAAGAGAAATAAGAAAGTGAATGCGACCCAAGAGAGGAGGGAAATCAAATATCATGATTGGCATTGCAAAACGCCTAATAATTTAAACATGACACTGTTCCATGGTAAGCAAATGCTTGCTCTGCGATTGACATTGGTGATCAACTTAGTAGTATATACTCATCGTCCCATTATTTCTTTCTGAAAAAAATTCACGTGAAAGTCACGGTGCTATATGTATAAACTGCCAAGACCACAAGGGTAATTTTAATGAGACCAAAAGGTGTTCTTGTAGTATCAAATCTGCTATAGTACTCTGATTTTTATGTTTTTTAATCTGCAAATGCGACATAGATTTAGGTCTTAAAAGCTCAGTAGGGTTCTCTCGTCTTGTCATTCCAGAATAAAGAGGCTTCGATCATGCATGTGAGAATTCTTACATCTGTTGTCTTTGCACTCAACAGTTAAATGGAACTTTGGCAGTGGCGGCTATGTTAGATCTCAAAATTTCATTCTGTCATTTCAGCAATTTTTCTTGTAGTTTTCACCTTCATTTGTTTCTCCCAAAACTATTAACTAGTTTCTTGAAAAGGAAAAAAAAAAAAAAGAAGGTAACACAACACATCTATATGAATAGTGCATAATAAATAAAAAATATAATTGTCTGATGATGATTATCTTCAGTTAGTTATACACAGTCTTAATAAAATAAAACTAATTAACAAAAACACACTTGAAAGGACCTGATTGAGCATGTGAAGGATTCGATAATGAACACTATATCTTTGTTTTATTGACAAATAAGATATGTGTCAGAGTTCATAAAAAATGGTTCTCAATATCTATAATATAATTCATTTTAATTATTGCGGGCACATGGTAACACACGTAGAACAAGTTGGCACGAGTGCAAGATTCTGAAACATCCATTATATTACAGCTAGTGTTTGTGCGGTTTGGGATAACATTAAACAGATAATGAAGCAAAAATTTCAGAATTGAAAGGGGCTTCTCACCCTACTCTCCAGTGGCAGTGGCTCCACACTTATTAGTGTCATACACCTACCATATGGTCCATTCCTATTTCTCAAACAAATTCATCTATCTCATTTTTTCATATCTTCATTTTTATTATCTTAAGTAAATCCCCTAAACCAAAAAAGAATGGTATATATATCAGTTTTTTCAAATTAAAGTGATAGCATATGAGTTGTGACATTGGGACGAGGTTTTGGAAGGTTCGAACGATGCTAAGAGGTGACAATGATGTATACTATGATCCATCTTATCAGGTACAACTTATTCACTGATTTTTTTACTAAGACAAATGTTGTGCACCATCTTCCATTCAGTTTTGCTCGACACAGCAGCTTCCTCGTCCCTAACTGGGGGATTCAAAACTTTTGCTTAACCGAATTAATCAAGATATGGAAATTGCTTGACCACACTCTCTTCAGGTACTTCTTTCAATGGTTAATATATTACACTATACCCTAGAAATGCTACATACCCTCAGAACAAGTCCTTCCATTTCTTCTTTAATGGAAACGATGGGTCCTTTAACCTACTCACTTGAGTTTCTTGTAGTGACTTCTTGCTAAAAAAATCTACCCTAATTGAAAAAATTCAGTTTCAAAGAGTTTTTTTTTTTTGCTTTTAAATTTCGGAAACTACTTTTGCAGAAAGAGGTGAAAATCCGGATTGGTTTGAAGGGATCTCAGTGTTCTCGGCGATGCAAAGTGGTCACATAGAAATGACCTTTCAATGTCATTAGCATAATGACAAGTTAAAAGATAAATAAAATATGAATTTATCTTTTTCTATCATATTTATTTATAAATTATTTTAAAATAAAATTGCATTATTACATTTCATATTTTCTTTATCTTATTTATTTTATTTTTATTATATCCTATATTTATTATTATCATTTTTCATATATATACTCAAAAATTAGGATTCACATGAAATATTTTTTATCTTGTATAGTAAATTTAAAATATATAATCTTCTTTGTCATTAGTCAATAAAAAAATATATGACTAGTTTTACTTTAATTAAAAATATATATATTTTTAGTTTTTTAATCTAATTACTTTAATAAGTAATTGCTGTCAATTAAATTAAGAGAAAATAAAAGGATAATAAGGAAAAAAAGTGAGGAATTTCATCTTCTAATTAGAATTGAAGTGCACACCTGTGAACATAAGTAAATCTTGAAAAATAAAATATGTTTTATTTTTAATGAAAAAAGAGGAATATTTTCAAGAAATCAGATCTGTGTAGTTAAAATTTTAACTGTAAAGAACATCATTTGATATAGTAAATTCTTCTTGATACCAAGTAAGCTTAGAAATGCAGAGGCATCTAGCAGGTAGTGAACCTAGCTAAGAATAGTAGTAATGTTTTGTGGAAACCTGATCAGATGTCAATTTCTAGAGAAAATGTATATAAAAAAATGAGAGGTATGAAAAGAGTAGTCCTACTATTAAGGTGCAGTATTAGTTTTGTTGCATAGAATACCAACAACCTCTCATTAATGGTGGAAGCAAAACATCACACGAACCCCAAGAAATTAAAATCTGAACTGCATTGCAGAGGAAGAGAGTCGGTGCTATAATGTTTTGCTGTAATAAGGAACCCCTATGCTGCTTGAAGTGGGCACCTATGTCACCCTAAGGCCTTAACACTTTCGAGTCATCGCTTTTCCTATGAAGGGTAAAAGGAACTTACATAGTCCCAGTACTAGTTGAGCCTAACTAATACTACTCCCACTACTTCACACACCATTTTCACTTGTGTGTGTGTGTTTTTTTTTTCTTCAAAACTCTTGATCTCTGCAATAGCTCTTATAGCCATTAATACGCTTTAAAAACAATGCTAGGAACCATCAATCAAGGAATTATCTAGCTATACTAATTTTAGTCTTAATAAATATCACTAACCCCACTTTAAAATTCGTGAATCTAGGCACGTGTTGTGTTTGTTATATTTTCCCTTCACTTCCCTAACAACAAACAAATACAGAGGAAAAAAGAAGTTTTTTTATAAAAATGAAAACTGTTTGGCATAATGAAAAGACCATCGATCGGGTTGGATCCTGTTGTGGTTGAATTGAATGGACTGAAATTTTGATCTGAGATTTCTGGTTCAGCATTGTCACAACACTTATGCTTGATGTTGGCATATTCTTTTCATGTAACAGGTCCTATCACTCGAAAGCGAAATGCTTTTTAAAAATTCTGTACTTTTTGTCTCTTCACTTTTAATGTAATGTTGTTGCAATCTTATACTTATTTTATTATTATTATTATTTTATGATACAGTCAATGCTAAACTTGTGTCACTGTTTGATGATTATTTTAATGCATAAAGGAATGCTAAAATTCTCTCTTTGGTTAGTTACCACAGAGGGAGATAATAGTTGGGGATTACAGCAAAGGGTGAAGGTGAATGTGGAGTGGTTGTTGTAGTTGCAGAGTGTTGAAAACAGTAACATTTTGTTTACCGCATTGCTACTGCTTGTGCATGCAATTTCACTCTTCAATCTCGAGGTGACTTAGTTGGTTGGTTTGTTTTCTCGGTGACACCACTTTCCTTCTTCCGCCAGTTTCTCTCGTGTCCTGAACCGTGCCTTCATTTGATTCACTGCACTGGGAGGACTTCATTTGTTTGACCTTGGACTTGGTGTTGCGGCCAACATTGGAATAGGGTCGGTGCTTGTGTTGAATTTTAAGGGTGGTAGCTTTGGATTCAAGACGAGTCAGTGTTTCAACTTAAAAAGGTTTTGGTTTCTTTTTGTGCATCTTCCCTGTCCTGGTTTTGCATTTGGTTATTCTATTCTGGTGTTATCGGCGTTTGAGGAATAATTTATTGTTCTTTTTTTATTTTTAAGTATTGGGATCCTGATTTTGGGAGGGTTTCCAACATACCAACAAGTGTTGTCATTGGTTGTTTTGTTGAGTTTCTTAGAGGTTCCTCGTACTTGGTCCCTGTTTGAGGTGGTGACATTTTATATTCTGTATAGTTCTTCTCCATCAGCAAGAGAAACTTGGTCCCTTGATTTGAGGGGTGTGGTGTGGTATTTAAGGTGTCGCAAAAGCACGGAATTTGATAGTGAAGGGAAGGGTTGGAGGTGACAATTTTTTCTTCTTATGTGGGAGTTTGCTTTTGACTGCAAGCTATGCTGATCTCTGATGAGGGAAGTTGTGATGTGTTTTTTGACTCGGTAGATTGTTTCTCACCAACCCAAGAGTCTTCTTTGACAGCAAAAGTGTTGGGTTATGAGATTTGGGTGAATGAGCCTGTGAGTGTGAAGGAAAGAAGGGAAAAGTTTTTGCAGGGGATGGGGTTGGATGATGGCTCTTCCAAGGTTTGTTCTCAAGGGAATAATATGATGAATTCTGATGACTTATCAGTGAGATTTGGACTGGAAAGTATCAGCGATAGAGGGGCAGTTTCAAATACTTGTAGTTGTATTTTGTCTTATGATCAGATTTCTGACGAGTTGGTTCTCTCGGGAAGGGAAGCAACTTCTGAGGCACAAGACTTGTTTGGCACACAGAAAGGAGGCCCCAAAGATGAACCAGAGGCAAGTTTTGAAGGGAAGGTTTATGAGGTTTCTTTTACAGATCAAGAGGTTAGACATAGAAAAGCTGAGGCTCGAAAAGAAGAGAAGAAAAGTTGGTGGAAGCACTTTATAAGCAACAAGAAAGGAGGTTGGCGGAAAGTCAGATCAAAATTGAATTCAGGGCAAAATAAAACTCGTAGAATAAATGTAAAACAGAATAAGAAGAGGTGGATGGAGTTAAGTGCACTGTATATTGGACAAGAGATTAGAGCTCACAAAGGCCTAATTTGGACCATGAAGTTTAGTCCCAATGGCCAATATCTAGCTAGTGGAGGTGAAGATGGTGTTATACGCATATGGAGTGTGACATCATTGAATACATCTAGTATTTGCTTCAATGCAGAAGACAGTGCTGTAAGCCAAGTCAAACATGGCTCCTCTTGTTCTCGGAAGAAACCCTCAAGCCAATCCTTCGTTGTTCTTCCTAACAAGATTCTGAAAATCGAGGAATCACCATTGCATGAATTTTATGGTCACACCAGCGATGTCTTGGATTTAGCTTGGTCCAATTCAGATGTGAGTTTAATTTGCAAAAGCTTGTAATTTTACGCAACATATGTTTGTTCCATTTGCAAATTCTATTGAATCTGATCTAGGGTTCCACTTGCAGACTCTCCTTTCATCTTCTTCGGATAAAACTGTTCGCTTGTGGAAAATTGGTTCTAATCAATGTCTATGTGTTTTCCGGCACAATGACTATGGTAAGTATTATTTACAGCATACGCTTTGTTAACTTTCATAAGTTGCTAGAGTGTCGAATGTTGCGATGTCTTAATCAAACAATTATGATAATAATCGTGTCTTGTTCTCTCACATGGAAACAGTGACTTGTATTCAATTCAACCCCGTTGACGAAAATTACTTCATCAGTGGTTCCATCGATGGCAAGGTCCGAATATGGGGGATACATGAGGAGCGAGTTGTTGACTGGGCAGACATACGAGATGTGATAAGTGCTATAAGTTACCGACCAGATGGACAAGTATGCAGTGATTTCTTGACCAAATCTTTGTGATTTTGTATGTCTTGCTGCTAATCACAATTCTTGATTTTTTTCATCATAAGATATTGAACCTATGACTGTTTACTTGTGCAGGGGTTTGTAGTCGGTTCCCTCGCAGGCACTTGCCGCTTTTATGTTTCCTCAGGTATTAACTATGGATTACTAGTTCATAAAGTCTCGAACTCCCTTTAGTAATGCCAAAAATTATATGAATTAAAGTCTCTAAATAGGATTTCTAATTGTTTAGGCAAACATTTCCAGCTTGATGCCCAAATTCGTGTCAAAGGAAAGAAGAGAGCATCTGGCAACAAGATTACAGGCATTCAGGTTTTTTTCTTGAAACTTAGTCGCTGCTAAAACTCTATACTTTTCACCTACTTGGCTTACATTTCAACACCCTTATCACATTGCAGTTTTCTCAGAAAAACAATCAGAGAGTTATGATTACATCTGAAGATTCCAAAGTTAGAATATTGGAAGGCATTGAACTTGTTCAAACATACAAAGGTAGAGCACTAAGCGATGAAGTCACCCACATGATTGTTGAATTAGTTATTAATATCTTCAAACAGTTGCGTGATTTTTCAGTATGATCTTTCGATCTGGTTGCATTAATAGTCAAAACACTGTCGAATACTTTAACTTTTAGACTGGGGTGATTGTTATAGATATTTTTAATGAAAAGTAATATGCATGTCAAATAGTACAGAAAGTCTTTATTTTCCATTTACAGATAATTTACAAAACTAAATTCTTAAACCTGTTTTAGTTAAACCACATCAATAAAGCATTGGACTTGACATTCTATGGTGACTTTGATTACTTTGGATTGTTTCCATGTTCAAATTACATACTTTAGATTGTCATTGATCCCTAAACACATGTATACATTTAATTTTTTTAAACGACCAATGTGGTATGCATCCTTTACCTCGTGTCTTTAATATGTGTGCTTTAGGTTTTATGCGTGGAATGCCTGTGTTCTTATTAAGTCTTGGACTTTTTCCACCATCTGCATTTTTGCATTCTTGAAACTTTATTCACATGGAATATTCTAAGTTGGTTGATCATACTACTATTTGCAGCTCTTCCAAGGTCTGGAAGTCAGATGTCTGGCTCATTTACCTCAGATGGAGAACATATAATCTCAGTCGGAGGGGACTCTCGTGTGTATATTTGGAACTTCAATGACTTGGAAAATACTTCTTCCAAAAGTACAAAATCCAAGTATTCCTGTGAGTACTTTGGCTCTCAAGGGGTTACTATTGCAATACCTTGGTCCAGCATGACTGCAGAACAAAGGGGTTCTGGCAATGATTTTGCTCACTATTCTTCAGAAATGCAGCACCAACTAGAGGCTGCTCACGGTGTTAGGGAATCGGAACGTTTTTCTTTTGGAAGTTGGTTCTCCATTGATGGTACATGCCGGGGTTCAATGACGTGGCCCGAAGAGAAGCTTCCTAGTTGGGATTTACCTCTTGCAAAAGTTGAATTTGAACACCAGAAGCTAAGTGTCAAAGATCCTTCCCATGAAAAATATGCATCAGAAACATGGGGACTATCCATTGTGGCAGCAGATTGTGATGGAACCATCAAGACATTCCACAACTTTGGACTTCCTATTAGGCTTTAGGACACTATCATTCAAGGTTCCATGATTTTGTCTTTCCATGTATATGAATGACTTTGCCAGCTATGAAGGGTGCTTTGCCTACTAAAAGATGGGCATTCATAGAGGAGTTTCATGGCCTTGGATTCTTAGCATAACCTACAGAAAATTGAAGCATTGAGTTAGATGCTTATCTGAGCAATGTTCTGCTCAGCTAGAAGTATTCTCATTACTAAATTCATGATAGATTCAAACATTCTTGACATATTCCACGAGTTTGTACATTCACACTTTTAGAATGCACCGATTTAAAGTGGTCTGCTTGTAGAGTCAGGCCACCAGAACCCCATGCCTTTTTATTGTAACATTTATTTTTGTGAATATTAGTTAGCTTATAGATAGCTATAAATTAATAAAAGGAAGAAAACTCAATTGAATTTTTGTTCAAATACCAGCTTTTGCAAGTTTATGGAGTTTCCTTTATTAACAATCATATCTTAACCTTGCTTCTAGACAGTCAATCCAATTTCTTCAAGTTCCAACTTGGTTTGTGAAAAAAATTAGATGATTAAGCTTGAGCTTATTTATCTAATTCTTTATTTTATGACACTTTTCTTTAATAATTTTTTTATCTTCATTATACAACAGTCAATAATTATTTTAATATTTGATAATTGTTTACTAATAGAAATTTTTATTTAATAATAGTTTTGTTAATGCAAAACTATGGTTGAGAGGATTCCTCTAAAGATGATCAAGAGACTAATCAATGACAAAGTAACTAATATTGATATTCTTTACCAATAAAATGATTAATTAAAAAAAATATTCATAATCTATTTATTTTCTTAATAATTTATAATATCACATTTTCATAATCAATATATAAAAATAATATAGATCAGTACGCTTTTCATCATCCACCAAATTAATTTATAAATTGGAAAATAAAAAAACTAATGTTTAATATAAGTAGTGGTCAATATTAACTTGTAATATCAAGCTTTTGAAGTTTGGATAAGACTCATTTAAATAATTAAGTTAAACTTTAAGCTTAAAATTGTCACCTTTAACTAAACAAACAAGTTTTAATAAGTAAATAAAATGTTAACAACAAATATTTTATTTAACCTAGTATTTGATCCTCACTTTAAACTTAGAGTCCTTGAACTAGCAACATTTATATAACTGCGAGACCAACCATAGTCTTTGATAGTGGGCTGCTTAGAAAATCCAAAATAAAAAAATAGTATATATATATTCTTAATAATAGACCGATAGGCCATAAAAAAAACTCTCATTAAAATTGAAGACAAAATTATTTTCTTATTTTTTTTATAAAATGAATAAATATAAAAAGCACCTTAAATCAGAAATAAAAACACACTAATGTTATGTTAAGAAAATTGATTAGATAAATACTTTGAATACGAAGATGAATTGATTCTAAAAGTGCAAAAATTATAGGTTAGTCAAAAAATTTATGGCTTAAAGTTAAATTAAATTTATTTTTATTTAAGTTATTTAAATTATGATTTATATAATGTAAATTTATGAATCTATTTATTTTATAGAATAATAATTATTTTTTTAAAATAATAATTATTTTTTAAATAAAAAATAATATTATTTTATTAATATATATATATATATATATATTATAAATTATTTAATAAAAATTTACTTGTTCTAAAATAAATATTAAAATTTTTAATAATTAATTATTTCAAGATCTAATTGATTAATATTAAAAATAATAATATTAAAAAAAAGTAAATGTTTAATTTTTATTTTAAGATTAAATGAATATAAATTTTTATAATTTATATATTAAATTATTATATTTTAAATAAATATTATTTTTATTAATAAAATTTAAATTTTTAAAATATTTTTTATTTAAATATTTTTTAATTAAATATTTTCATATAAATAGGTTAATATTTTAAACAAAAATCAACACCACTAAAATTAAACAGTTAATCCATTTATCTAATTTAGTCCATAATAAAAAGATTTACCCGTTTGCCATCAAATTTTTTTATTTGAGTCATGCCAAAAGTGGACCGTCCAACACATTAATGAATGTAGTTTTATTTGTTATTATTATTATTTTATTTTTCTGGATAACATTGAGCAACAGTACTGCAATAAAGCCATGAGAACCTTGTTGGGGGAAAACACGGCAGAGTAATGGGATAAAACGGTCTAACTTTCAGAGTTTGGCGAAACTTGTTCATTGGTTCAGGGAATGCGATTTCTGAACATGGTTCCTCAACATCGTTCTCCAACACTGATTAGTGTTGAAAAGGTACACCACCTTATTCCCCATTTTATTACTCATTGTTTTTTCCCCTTTCTAATCCTCTTTACCTCTAACCCTTCAATTTCACGGTGCAATGTGAACATGGTCATTTGAATAATGCCGTAGCTTTTATAAGAATTTTTTAATAATGAAGAAGAGATTCTGAAAGACCGAAACTTGTTCAGTCAATTTTGACTCTGGAGTTTCTGAGAATTTTGACGAAATCATCGTAAAGTTTAACGATTCGATATCCTTCTTTTTATTCTAATTCTAGAAGACAAAAGTTTGCGCACATGCACATTCTTCTCTCCCTTCAAAACCTTTTATTAGAGAATTCGAAACATGGTTCACCACTTTCCGCTATACCCAGTAACCCAGTCGTTGATTCCCTTCAAAAATCAAATCACAGTTATACCACTTCCGATTCTCAGTCTTGTCTTCTTCCACAACACTCTTCGTTGCCTACGCTTTCTCTTCTACTATATCTGATTTGATATCGTTAGTATAATTATCTGTGTGGAAACACTTTTCTGAAAATACTGTTTGAAGAAGAAACTCAATAAATTAATTAAAGTTGTATCTTTTTCTGATAAAAAAAAGGTATTATCTTAATTTATTTCTAAACTAATTTCAAATTATAAATTTAGAAATGTTTATTTTTCATTGTGTAAATTGGGTGGTAGTAAATAAATATTAAACAACTTGGAAATATATTGGGTGGAAAACTGATTGTGTAGAATTTTCACCCCATTTTTATTCTTCACGCACTGTTATTATTTATTTTATTTTATTTTTTAATAAAAATGATCGAATTATCTATAAAAAATATATTAAAATTTCTGAAAGCAATTTTCATTATATATATATATATATATATATATATATATATATATATATATATATTTCTATATATTACTACTAAAACGTAATTTAGTTTTTATATGTTATTGTTAATCTATAATTTAACTCAAACATGCTAAGATTAAATTATATTCTATTAATAATGTATAGAAATTTATTTAAAACAAAAAAAATTAAAATATGAAAGTTACTTTCAATTATTTATTTTATTAATATTTAATGATTAACTTCTTTTTGTTTATTTGTAAATATTTAATGATTAACTTGAAAAAATATACACCGTAAATAAATATCACTTTACCTCCTATCCTATATTTGTTAATATAAGGTGCATATTGATGAACAAATGTTTTTAAAATTGTTAAAATTAGGATTAAATAAACTTTTGGTATCTCAAAATTAATTCATATTAAATTTGATATTTCCAAAAAAAAATTCCATGATTTTGATATCCAACGTCTAAGAAATATATAAATTTAATCTTATCAATTATTATTCTTTTACTTTTGAATTAGGGGGTGTTAAGTTTGATAAAATCACACATTAGTAGATTTATAAATATATTGTTAGGATAAATACATTTTAATACAAGTAATTCAAAAATAATAAAGTTAAATATAAAAAATATATTGAAGTATTTTTAAAAGATATCAATTTTAATGAATAACTTTAAAAATTTATTCAATCCTTTAAATTATTGAACTTATGTATAGAAAGAACAGGGATTAAATATTTTAAGATTGATGTTAACTTTTTATGATGTCTTAGATTGTGTGATACAAAATATTTAGTTACTGCACTGACTAAATAACAAAATAAAGCATGATATATTAGGCATGTATGGAGACAAAACATAATCAAGTTATACATATTTGAATTCTATGAAATTCTATAGCAATACTCTTTCTTCTATGACATTTATTTAGGGGCATCCTCATGTATATATTGCCCAAAAAGTGTCATATAAATGTGTAAGTTACAAAAATTTTGTATGAAGCTTATGCATTTTAAAGAATGTTGTGTACACTTTTAAACGTAAAATAGGATCAAATATTCTGAAGTTAATTTAATTTTTAATTCTGAATGCTTGCATCATGTTTCCAAATCCTTTAAAATGTAATGAGTTATAAGTTGCAACTTCATGGAAATTTGATATAGCTTGTAATTGACCCACACTTGAGTTGCTTAAGTTGAACTATAGAATGCTCCGTTTATTAACATGTTCCTGTGGGAGATATGCCAAGGAATATCTAATATCTAATGTTACATTTTGCTGATTGTTATGTTGCCCCATTTTCCTAATTTGTTTCAATAGTGATTATGTAAATAATGAATACTATACCTTGTCATTGCTTTGTTGACTTTGTGTGCTCTTAAGACAGGACCCATTTTGTACTTTGCTGCTAATTTTTAATGTCTCTTTTATCTCAATATTCAATCAAGTTAGAATTTACCTATGACTATTGATAGCAATATTTTTCCTTTATCTAAAGAACATTTATACTTTTAGTTTGTTTCGTGGCCAAATATTAAAATGTGGGTCCATAATTGTCTCAATGAACCTGACAGACAAACATCTGTCTAATATGTGGTGATAAAGGAGATTTGAAGTGCCTTGTATATTGCGTCCAATGTCAAGCTTGTGCTGAGCATAGGTAAGTGTACTGTGAGTTATCATTCTCACTTTTAAATAGTTGACAGTACTTTGATTTACGGTTTGGATAATTAATTGGGATTATATATGTCTGCTATTGGATTTTGAGAGCTGCATAACTTGTTCAACCAAAGTATGTTGTCTACATTTTATCAAAGAAGTAGATGTATGCATTAATAACATTTAAAATGGATAGAATGTTGGTACGGTTGTCAAGTTTGAGATTCAACATGGAATTTTCGTAAATTTGATTAGTAAACTTGAAAGAATTTATCTTAGGTAAAAAAAAAAAAACAATATTAAAAAACTTATTAGTGGTATTGGCATATTGTATAACAATATTTTTTTAAACAACAATAATTCAACCTTTCAACTTCATAATAAGGAAAAAGTAGCAAACCATAATAATAAAGTTTAACACTAAATTAGTGTTAAATAAGATTAAACTTACATAAATGACTTAATTATATATAAATTCATAAAAACATAACTTCTTTGAAAATATTTTCAATAAAGAGTTAATTTCTTCAAATAATTTGAATTCTAATAAAATATTGTCATCAATAAATGACAAAAGTTACATTGATTTCAAACTCATTAACTCACATTTTGGGTCAGTTTATGCAAATTTAATACTAGTTTAAAGAATTTATTCAAGTTTACACCAATTAAAAGGGAAAAGAAAAAGAAAAGGAGTTTGATAGCGAGTTAATTTGTATCATCATCGTAATCTGGTATGAGTTAACGAAATTTTGGCAACCTTGAATGTTGGTGTAAAACTCTATAATACTGCTAAACAAGAAAGTATTACATTATTAATAAAAAATGTAAAACAAAAAATATTATGAGCTAATATCTTATAGTTTATTGGTGTATAATTTTTCACATTATATCATATCAGAACAGATCTTTAATTTGATTTCTTTGTCGCTAGTGTTTATATATTGAAAACAAACAGTAAGTCATCGATACTGTGTAATTTTCAACATTTACACTCATTTATTCTCTATTGCCCGACAAAAATTTAAAGGAAAAAATATTGAGGGTCACATTATAATATGACTATATGAAATAAAATATCGTAGTTTGGCATTTACAAGAGGAAACATAAAAACTAGAACTAATGAACTAATTGACTGCACAGATACATTATATTTTCTAATAAATGAAAGTGCTCCCAAGTTGGCCCTTGATGTGATAAAATAAAACTAGAAAGAAGATGTTGTGTACTGCTTTTTCTAGGTTGATATATGCAAAATGTGCTTAACAAATAGTTTATATATTTTCAGTTATTGTTTAGATAAGTTCTATACAGAAGATGATGGAACAATTATCTGGAAATGTGAGGACTGTGCTCCAGTTGATCCCAAAAGATGTGGATCTGAAGAATTGAGAAAAAGCAAGCGCTTAACTCATGTTGCTGAAGCTAAATATGTAAGGATGAAAATGCGAAAGGAAAGTCTTGCAGTTAGAAAACCAAAACCTGTCAGATCATCTGAAGGTTTTCGTGCAGAATGCCGTAGTAAAAATGACACTGAGAAGAGACAACCGGTCTTTGAAGGCAGTTACATCTTTTATAAGGATCTTGAATCACCTAAAGGTTCTATAAATATTTCAACTGACAACCAAACATTGGAGCATGAGATGTATGTTGATTCTGAAGCCTTAACGATTAAACACCAGAGTTATCAAGAATTTGACAAACATAGCCGTGCTCACCCACTTAGTGATCCAGTTTGGACGTGAGATTTTTTCTTTATTTTTCTGTGTTGAGGCTGCGTTTGTCCAATCCTTAATTGTGAAGTAAAGTTCTAGTAACATTTATGCACCTTATTTTTTACAAACGTCTTTTTTTCATGTATAGGGGGCAATTTATATTCAACAGTGCAACAGATTTTGGTCTTGTTGCTTATGCGTCAAGCGAAGCTTGCTCAAAAGTGATTTTGGCAGTAACAGAGCTTCCTACCCAGCTGGATGTAGAGATGTTATCCAGGTGTGCTATTTGGCCCAAGAGTTTTGACATGTCTCCTCCTAACGGTGATAGTATTGGTCTCTATTTTTTTCCCCAGTATGAAAGGTATGCTTTATCCATTGATTATATTCTTCATTATCACTGATATTGTAATTTACTATTTACTCTTGTTTCTTATATTCTCTTACATCAATTAGGGATGAGTTAATTTTTGATGGTGTGCTGAATGATTTAATTGAACAAGAATTTGCTCTCAAGATAGTCATTAACAACCTGCAGCTCCTCATTTTTTCCTCACATCTATTACCTCCAAATGATAGGAGTATGTTGGAAACCTTATGCTTTTACTGTAAATTTAGAAAATCTGCTGTCTAGGGTATTTGATTCAGTCACTTATCTGATTTTCCAGGAATTTGTGACAAGTATTATTTGTGGGGTGTTTTCAAACCAAAGCCAATCAGTGGGGATATTCGGTCCACTTAACCCTCTGAACAGAAAGAATAGGTGACTTCTAAATCTGCCGTGTCAACACTATGAAATCTCATAAATAGCAGATCATCAGAGTGAGCAAATTTTCACGGTTCTGTATGTAGAAGTGTACGTTAGATATCCTACGCTTTTGCTGTAAATTTAGTAAATTTGTTATGACAGGCATTTGATCCAATTACTTATCTAGTTTTCCAATAATTTAAAAAAAGCTTTATTTCTGGGGTGTTTTTACGTAACTTTTTCAGGTTAAATGTATACAACATTTTCATCAACTACATATAACTTTATTTGTAAAAAGCCACCGTTGATAGCTCAGAACTTTTTCGCTTGATCAGCTTATAACTATCTCTGCGATAGAAAATGCGTACTTGCGGATTCTGCAATCCATAAGATTCTTTTGAAATGTCAGAACTCTGAATTTCTAACTTTTCTGCGATGTTCTGATCAATTGAACTGCACCAAGAGTAAATTTGTTTAAAAAAAAAATGTCCTTTTCTTTTAGCAGGTTTTACTTTGTGATGTTTGGTTGTATCAGCAGGAGAAATAGATCAATTGTTTCTCAATTGAAGAGTTGCATAAAGTGTGGCTTAAAGTGTCTACGCGAGGTATATTTATAGGGCAAATTGCTCGAAAAGCTTGTCAAATGTTTTGGCATGTGGTGATCTGTCTCCGCCACGTGTGTTCAGAAAGTGTTAATCTTTTGAGTTTTCTGGAATTGATTTTGTACATGGTTGTTTTTGTGTTTGATAAGCAAAACATGAATCTATAATTTTTATTTTAGCTAAAATTATTTTTACTTTTGAAATGTAGATCCCAGAGTTTAAATATCAAACCAAGAACACTATTAATATAGAGTTTGTCTGGATATTACTTAAAAAGAGTTGTATTACTTACTGTTCATAGAACTCATCGAAGTTGTTTCTACGTGGTTAAGTGCTTTTTATACACCAATCACAACTACGCATATCATTTAACTTTTTGAAAAACAGGGTTTATAAAGAGGATGGGAAATTTTTGTTCATAAATACTTATATAAAAAAATGTTTTTTTTTATAAAATAATTATCTCTAATACTTATATATGGTAAAATTAAAATATTTTATTCAAAAAAAAAAGAATATATATATATATATATATATATATACAGTATCACTTAATATTATATATGATATAAAACCAACTATTTTTTAATAATAACAATTTAAAACTTAAGTGAAAACGATTTAGAACTTAATTGAGTTATTCATATTATATGAAAACCAAATAAAATATTTTTATTATAAGCACAAAATTTCTCATAATTATTATATAAAAATATATTTATTAAAAAAAATCAATACGAATTAAAGATAAAATTTTAGAAAAATTATAAGAGAGTTTATACAAATTAATTATGCTTTTTAAGTTAATTTAATTTATAAAAAAATTATTTTACTTTTTTTCTCTTTCTTAAATGTATTTATGGTGAAGTATGTCAAAAAAAATAAAAAAGTTAAGAAGCACCAAATTTTAGAGTATCTTATCAATTTATCTTAATTTAAATAAAGACATAATCTATGAAACTTTATAAATTTATAGATTTAATTGTATTTTTAGAGTATAAAATTTGAGATTTAATCTTTTAAATTAAAAAGAAAAATTTTACTTTAGCATCTCAAATTTAGTAAAATATGATTTAGTTTCTAAATATTAAACTTGAAAAGATTACAAATAATTTTAAAAAATATTTGAATGCTATAAATTTAATATCTAGAAATTATTTTTTTCCAATTTTAAGGGATCAAAATGTCTTTTTTTTTATTAATTTCGGTGATCACTATAAGAAAATTGCATATTTCACGATGATTTTTACCAACAGATTTGTAGTCGTCGAAAAATGAATCATTACAGACGTAAAATTATCGATGGATATAGAATTTGGTCTTACCGACGGATATATCCATCGATAAAATAATAATTAGTTACCGACGGATATATCCGATCAATAAATTTGTCGATAAATTAATAATTAATTACCGACGGATATATCCATTGGTAAATTCGTCGGTAAATTAACAATTAATTACCGACGAATATATCTGTCGGTAAATTCATTGGTAAATTAAGAATTAATTACCGAGGGATATATCCGATCGGTAAAATTATATATTAATTACTTAATATATTCTAATAAATTAATTATTTACCTAATTAAAAAATTAAATATTTTTTTAATAATTTAATTTAATCATAACTAGATTAATTTATAATAATTTATTAAATTAAATAATTTTTAAAAATAAATATTTAATTATATATAAATATATAAATATAATTTATTTGTAAATTATTATCAAAAAATTCTAGTAGCTTAGTAGTTGGAGTATTATCCTCTAACTCTAAGGTACTTGGATTTAAATTTTATCAATGACAATTCCCTTAATCTGATAATAATTCAAAACTATAAAAATATAATGGGAGAAATAAATAATAAAAATATGAAGGGGAGTGAATCTCTAAAAAGATAAGTTATAAAATAAGTAAAAAAATATAATAAATAATAAAAATATTACCATGAATTTTTGTTATTATTAACGGATTTTTATCGTTGAAAATTTTAATATTTACCGTGATTTAAAAGCAGGATCATTATTAGAAATGTAATTAATCTAAATTCATTTTTATAGTTAAAATAATTTGATATAAAAGCTTTCTTTAGAGACAACTTTTGGAAAAACAAAATTTATTTAAACGCACCCTTACAAAACGTATTATAACTTTGTGTTTATAACACGTTTTACAACGTGAGTTTGTGCAGGACGAGATGTGCGTCTCAAAGTGAGGCAAACGCGCGTTCAGTTTTTTTTTTTTTTAGTGGCTTTCGCATGGATTTAACTTTTCCACCTTAATCCCTGTTTGGATTTGTATTTACATCATTCAAAATCACGATGAACTATCAAATAATGTGCTATTAAATATTTAATCTTATTTTAAGGAATTGGATTCATGAATCACATCAACTTTGATCTTATTTCATATTTAATATACTTTAGAATAATGAAAATATTCAAACATAAATAACATCACATCAAAAAATAATTTTAACGTAAAATACACTTTGTAAGGGACTTTTGAAGATTTGTAAAGGACTTTAGAAGCTAGCAATTGAAAATTTTCACATTGTTATTTGAACAAATGAAAATAAATTTTTACATTTTGGTACGCCCAACAATTGCAAACCAATCCTTTTTAATCATTTGTATAATTCAGTGTTTCAAGGATCGAACCGAAATTAAAGTGGTGTGAACGGTTCAAATAGGTTGCGGTTTATAGGGTCGAACCGAAATTAAAGCATAATTAAAGTTCATTTTGACAAAAACCCAAAAAAGTCTACCAAGTATCATACTCACGTTGAAAAAGGAAAAGTAATTAATTCTTTTATATTAATATTAAATTATATTATTTCTATGTTTCATATAATTTAGCGTAGTTTATATAATTTTTTTCTCTAAATTCAATAAATCGTTTTTTAATAATAAAATTATAAACAAATTATATTTTTAAAATAATAATAATAGACGCTAAAAATATTATAAAATTAAAATAAAAAATATTATCACAAATTATATTTTAAAAATAATAATTGATGCTAAAAATATTTTTGTAACAAATATAAAAAGATATTATCACATATGAAGTAATTTATTTTCAAGACTTATTAAAAATAAAATATAAATACAAATTATGATTATAGATTGTGACAAATACAAAGTTAGAAGTGATGCATAAGAAAAATTGAGATAAAGTATAAGCACTTTCAAATACATCATTCATTGAATTTAGTTATTCGCTCATAATATTCTCTTGCGTGATTTACTTTAATCTCTTATTATTTATTTCTTACAAATTATTAAATTTTTATTTCACTTCATACGGTATCTCGTTAAGTTTTGTTACTTTATTATTTCGTATGCTATACAACTTTTAAAATAATAATTAGTTGGAATATAGTTAAACTATGATTGCCATAATAAACCGCAAATCAACATATTTATTAGTTTAATGACTAGTTTACCAATAATATCTCTTTGACCTATTCTTAATTGTTACCTCTTGAAATTGTATAATTTCTTTTAAGGGAAAACCAACATACTTTTAGGTCATATAAATGTTTTTTGGTATAAAAGCATATAATATGGTTGTATTGATGTTATTTATTCTATAACATATGATTTAAGTTACAAAATCACAAATTGCTTATTAGCTACTATATTTGTCAAATGCCATTTATAATATAATATGCATGTGTACTCTTCAGATATATTATATCATATTCATTCAACTAACTATATAGTTTATTAAGATTTTTACTTTTATTTTTAATTTTGTAATACTGTTATTTCTCTTTAAAGTATCTGTTAGTAAAATTTGTTTAAGATTATAAATCACAAATATAAGTTACATAAAATTGAAAAAAGTTATGTTTCTCTGAATTTTGATACTAAATCATTGGATCATTTGAAAGGGACGTGGAATCCTTCAATATACATGTCATAATAACTTGAAGAAAGGTGCAATAATCATAAGTTGAATCATTAATTTGGTGTATAAAAAAAAATGGTAAAAAAGTGCATATCCTTAAATAAATTTCAGTAATCCAAAGAGTAAATTTATAGCTCTTGGGGAAGTATATGCCTCATTAAAAGAAGACTTCAAAGTCATTCCTAGAGTTTACTATTGGGGATCTTGGTGTCTAAAACATGGTACTTGAACTATATTTGACTCAACATTCTTCTATTTATATCCATTATTTATAGCATATTTCTTATCTTTGTTATGTCCTACATGGCCAATCACTGTTTCTTTCTATGTACTTATTTGGCATGCTTCCAAATATTGTGTCTTTAAGAATATTCTAAGTATTTTCCAATCTTAAATCAGCAATGAATGAGAATTGAAACACACGTTCTATTTCTTACTAAGGTTTTAGCATTCGTAAATTTCAATAAAATAAGCACAAATAATATCTTCTTTTCTAAAAAAAAACTATGACGAGTAAAAGTATATATAACTGAAAATTCTGAAATACAAATTTTGGGTCCAAATGTTAATTACAAACAAAATTGGAAAGAGGTGAATTAAAAGGAACTGGTTAATAACAAATAATAATAATAATAATTAACATTATACTAGTTGTGTGGAAGTAGAAAAAGAACAGGGAAATGGAAAAGTCATGGTCTTCTTTTTCTACAAATTGAAGAACGACAGTGGCACAAGATAGAAGAAGAACCACCACTAATGTAAAAATTCTCAAAAATCACCGAAACAAAGTGAAAAGAAAAACCTATTATTAGTCGAAAAGGCTGAACAGGTTCGGCGACGGTTGCGGCGACGCCACGGCCATGGGAAGAAACCCCGATGGACTCGCCAAAAAACTACTCGCCGGCGACCAATACGACGGCGAAAACTCGTTCCAATATGACGACGCTAGCGCCTCCATCGCCGGAGAAAACCCCGCCGTAACCGGCGGCAAGGTCTCCGGCCCCGGCGACAGTATCCCCGGAAACTGACCCACCTCCACTCCCCCCTCTAACATCCACATCAAGTCATCATTTCCGCTGTGCAAAACCCTCTCCTTCTCCTTATCTGACGGGCTCGTTTTCTCGATCGACGCCAGCCTCGCCGCAGGCGACACGTCGCCTCGTCCGGCAGGCGGATCCTCTGCCGTGGTGACTCCGGTGAGGCGCTGCACGACGTCCATGAAGTTGGCGGGGTTGACGTGGATGACTCTGGGGGAGACGGAGTAGATTACCACTGGTTCCCGTTGCGGCTGGTTATACTCCGGCGGCGCGTGGTGGTGGTGGGCGGCGGGATGCGGCGGCGGCTTCTTGATCTTGCGCGATTCTTTGCTGACTTTGAGAGGCGGCGGGCGCGGCCCCTGGAGCTGAACCTCTTTCTTGGACAGCGGGGCTCCGGCGGCAGGAATCTCCGTCGGGTTCATGCGGAGGGCGAGAAAAAATCCGGTGCGGTGAGGCGTATAGAGAGGTTGTGGTGTGTGTGTGAGGTTGAGAAATGAGAGAGATTGGAATTAAAAGAAGTTTGGAACTGAATTAATTTATTTTGGAGACAAAATAGAAATATGCTCCTTTGTTGACTTTTGAGGCTAGGTATCGTTGACTCCAACCCCATTTTTGTGTTCTAATATAAAAATTAATCATAGTTAATTAAGATTCACCAACTGTGATGTACATCGTGTTCTGTACCACGAGGGGTTAATTAAACTATGTAAAGTATAGGGGATGAGAAAATGTTAGATGGGGGTAAATATACAAAATTTAATTATTATATAAATTTAAATATATTATATACTTAATATTATTATATAAATTTAAATTTTTAAAAAATAAAGTATATTTTATTTTATTTTTTTAAAATAAGTTTATAATTTTACTTTGTTATTTACTTAGAAAAATTACCTAAAGTATTTTTTTTACCTCATATTTTATTGAACTGAAGAAAAAAATTAAAAAATTAAAAAATTAAAAAACTAAAAAATAAAAAAATTTATTTTTATATTATAGAAATGAAATTATAAAATATATTAAAAATAAAAGAGAATTTTTAATTTTTATATTATAAAATGAAAATATGAAGGAGAAAAATACGAGAATTAACTAATGATAAAAATTAAATATAAAAATGGGAAGAAGATAGATTGAATGTGTTAAAAAAAAATCGTAGGAGAAAAAAATAAATGATGAGAAAATAAAAATATAAAAGTAAAAGAAAAAAAACGTAAATAAATATAATATTTATTATAAAAAAAATTAATTTTATTTATATTTAAAAAATAATTATATATAAATTAGTTTAGGATTGAGACATGACTCTGTAGGCCCATACCAAACACTTGATTACAAAAATGTTTAACCACTCAAATAGAACCTTCACATTCAAATATTTACCACAAGAAAATACCTTAATCATTAATAACAGTAAAGGAAATCAAACCAAAATTGCATCTTCAAATGTGTAATAAAAAAACTCAAACACATAAGAATACCTCGTTTAGACAAATAATAAATGTTATTTGTCTTCCTATCAATTAATAAATATATTCAAAAGACACAAATTCATTTGATTGATATAATTTTATTTTATTTTTAAAAATAATTGTTTAATTTTTAGTTTTTAAAAATAAAAAAATTGTTTAATAATATATTAAAACAATATTTTAAACTGTTTTTTACTTTTTAAAAATTAAAAAAGTAAAATTCATAAAATATATTTCCTATTCACTAATGATATTAATTAATAGTTTTAAAAATAATTAGTCATTTTTATTTTTTTCACGACTTTTTTTCATTTGCATTTTGTGTAGAGAAATTTTTGTGTTTTGGTCCTGACAAAAGTATGAGATTCATCTACTCTAATTGTGAACAAAAGAAATCATTTAAAAACTATTTATCGTTCAAATTTTCCAAATTGAAGGAGAATGAGAAGAGACCTAGCAAGGGGAGAACTGAAAAAAGGGATGTTGAAAGCAAAGAGGAAAAAATGAAAGGAGAGAGTAACAAGTTATTTAAGAGATGAAACAAATGAAGAGGGAAAAATCATTTAAAGTTTGACTAATGAAAAAAATAAGTTTTTTTAATGGCACCTTTAATGTTGCAGTCTTGTGAAAGATATATTACAGTTTTACAAGAAAAATAAGTTTGTGAGAAGAGAGATGTAATTTTCCTGAATTAACTCATTGTCTCACATATGTCAATATAGTTATTGTTGTAATTTTCATAGGTATTTATTCTTATGAAAATAAACTAAATATTATAGTCAATTAAATCATATATTATTGTGTTAATAGACTTTTAACATTTTCTCAATTATTTGGTCAGGGAAAAAAACTAATTTGAACTAAATAATCAAATTTTGTTATTCTATTTTTTTTTTTAATGTTCAATTTGATTGCTTGCTCCATGTCTTAATAGTGTCAATGAACAAGAGTTAGTAATGGTGTGAGCTTTTGAATTTCTAAAGTTATTGGATTACCAGATGGATTATAGGGAGTAGAAAATAATAAATTTTGGTGAAAAGAGATGTTTGTTTGGAAAAAGGAAAAGATAATAAGAAAGGTAGAAAAATAATTTTTTTTTTATAAAAGTTTGTAAACAATTTGATTAAAAATAATTAAATTATAATTAAATAAAAGTTATTATTATTAATATAATTTAAAATATTGTAATTATTTTACTTATTTTTATTATAATTATTAATATGATAATTATTAATTTTTATTATTAAAATAATAATAATTATTATTTATATATTATATATAATTTAGTATAAACTTTTCGTCCATTTCTGATTGTCAATAGGAGGAAGAATTTTTTTGTTAGAAATTGCAAATTATTTATCTCAAAAAAAAATTTTCTTTGCAAATAAACTATACTCTCATTTTTATCGTTTAATCCAAACATGCACTTAATTTAATTGAAGAAAAAACATTAGGTCTTTCATACATAGAATCTTAAATTTAAAGTACACATCAACTATCATCATAGTTCCACCCACATTTATCAATAACCATCAATAAAAAAGATAGATTGTCAATAACCATCAACACATAAGTCAAATTCCTTAGGCTTATCATGTAGCAATAAATTATTGAATTTTTGATTACTTATAATTCAAGTAAAAAAATTTAATGTAATCTAATCATAAATTTTTGAGTTTTTCTATTTTGGATTTAAAATGATTGATTTAGGTTAATTTAGAATTTATGAAAATGAATTATAATTTTAGATGAGATTTTCAAATCTACTCTTAAGAAAGAATATTACGTCCTGACCGATTCATTAAATTAATCCTACAAAATCATATTATTTACATATCACACAATCTTCCATCTTAATTAATAAATATTGAGACTCAAAATAATTAATATGATCATATCCAATTATATATTAGTATAAATCTATTTGGTTATGAAATATAAAAAAAAAAAGTTTTTTCTTTTCTTTTTTACCTTTTTTCCCCTCAATTTTCATACTTCATAACAAATCCTCCCGCCAGTCTTTTCCGTCTAAACGCAAACACACTCTTAATATCAGAAAAGCTTTCTCCAAAAAATTTCAAAAAATTCTTATAATTATGTATATTATATTTATTAACTAATATAAGATTACGTCAGAGAAAAAGTTACTATTGATTTTTAAATATAATTCATATTAAAGTCATTCAAATTTGTTACTTGGATCAAAGTTGGGTCACCTATTTTTGAACTCAACACAAATAATTTAATATTTAAAAATAATAATGTTACATATTTTTTTACTAAAATATGACTAAATATAATAAAATTTATTTAGAAATTCATTTTCAAATCGTAAAATAAAATATATTAACAAATATACATGTCATTAATATTTGGATTTATGATATGAATAAAGTATCTTATAATATTTGTTTCAAATCAAAATTAAAATAATAATAATATTAATAATATATATATATATATATATATATATATATATATATATATATATAAGTAAAAGCATATGATTTTAAAATTTAAATTATAAAATCTAGAATAAATGGTAAAATTGACTAAAATGTTAAAATTTTGTAATAAAACATATATTAAGCCTTTACGTAACAAATGTGATAAGATTAAATAGAATTTTATTTTTAACTCGATAAAAAGTTAATCGTATTATAATCTTAACAAATATACAAGTCATTAACATTGATATTATGTGTAAAACATATTTTATATATATGTGAAAGCATGGTTAATAACTATATTAAGAATTTGTTCATTTAACAAAAAGTATTAAAAAATGGTATTAAAAATTATTTTTCTTATTCAATAATAGATAAAAAAAAGAAAAAAAAAGGAAAAGGGACATCAACTAATAAGAAAACAAGTATGAGACATTCTACTAGAAAAAAAGGAGAAATAAAAATTTATAGACAACTATAAGATTAAAAAATCCTATTTAAAAAGGTTAAAAATGATGAAAATTGAAAATATAATATAATTTTTTTTTATATAGTGGATATGTAGAGAAGTCTTATGAGGTTAATGATGAACATGATACATCTTAAAGATATTAATTTTATGAAGTCAAGATATGGAAGCTACAAAATATCTTATTCGTTTTTAGGTGTGTTTGTCTATAGTGTCTTCTAGTAAGAAAAATTTCTTTCTTGATATATTAAAACTCAAGACATACACATGACTCAAAGTATTAATCTATTAAATTATGTTTTTCATCAATTATAATATTTTATATCAGTTTAATATAAATGAGTTTTGAAAAATTATTATGTTAAAACTAGATTGCATCACTTAAAATGTTTTTGGGTCTTTTAATGAAAAATTTGTTAAATTGCTTTAATAGATTACAATGAGCTTTTTATATTAAAATGAATCATTAAAACTTGCAAATTTTTGGATGTTCAATTTTAATTTATAAACTTTGAATTTAAATGAAATTTTTTAGAGTTCAATTTTAATTGATTAAACCATTTTTTATCAATTAAATGACTTAAATTTCTAAGAACTTATTTTTGTATGAGTCATTTTGATTGATTAAAATACGAAATAATTGATTAATTAGACTTTTAGTTAGGGGTATCAAAATAGGTTTAATCCGATGGTTCGATCTAAAAAGCTCGAGAAACAAGTTAGATTAGACAAAAAAATTTGTGACCTAAATTGAATCAACTTATTTTGGTTCAACCTATAGGTCATGACCTATATGGGCTTAGGTCAAGCTACTATGTAGGTTTATGATCTCACCCGTTTGTTTGATAGAATAATAATAATTTTTTAAATAAAAATAAAAGTAATATTATTTTATTAAAAAAATATATGCATTATGAATTAATTTGGCAAGGAATTTAGTTATTAAAATAACAAATATCATAATAAATATCTAATAAATGAGTAAGATTAATTATTATTTTAAATTAATAAATTACTAAAAAAATAATGAT